ATATGACATAATTATTGATTTGAATTCAGCGAGGAAAATTAAACAACTTTAAAACATTACAATTTTGTTGGCTTTTTATGAGCAAAGAATCGAATTTTCTTAGGGTTTCATAGTACCATTTTACGATCCGGCAATAAGATGTCTGACGCCAAATGAAATTGAATTTATTAAACTCTAGACTTCAACAAAATCTCTAAATCTTCAATTATTTTGTACCAATTTAAATTAGCTTGAAATAGTCTTTTCAGACGTACTACTACTTTGAAATTGAAAAAAATGAATTTTTGAAGACCTAAAGTCTATATAATCATATATGAAACAAAACTACATTTCCGTTACTTTATTAATAACTTACGTGCTTATACAATAAAATTAATAATTTTTAAACCCATAATTGTTCCTGATTATCAAAAGCAAACAGAATTATATTTTTGTAAGTTATTGTGGCATCAAAATGAACTAAAAGTTGTATACTTGATGGTCTGGAATATGTAAAAAGGGATAAAATTTGTATTTATTAAATACGAAGCAGAAAATGTGCAATTAATTTTACAAACAATAATAAATATCAAAAGGAAATTGATATGCATTTTTTCGTATCAGTGTCTAAAATGCCTCTTGTTTTTGAACTTTTACGTTGCACTAATACATAGAATAAAATCATAACAAGTATTTGAAATCATAAATGCCTGTTAAAAATAAAATTTGGATTTTTATTTCTCCTTATGCTCATTACCCAACAACGATTCCGTTTTTAAGATCTTTGGTGCAACTTAGCATATGCGAAAATGACCTTTTACATTATGATGAAATTGAAAAACCAATGAAAATTGCACCGTGTAGCTTCAATTAAAAGAAAATGCACAAGGTTGAAAAAAACCTACTTTTCAGCTAAAGAAAATTGCGAGTAAGGGACGTTAGCTTAGTGATATTATTGAAACAAATGTCTGTTTCATTAAATAGTATTTTGTAACATTTATTCTTTTCTCATGATATTAATACCTTGGACTTGTTCAAATAAAATCGACGACTTTGAGGAAGCATATTGAAGACTGGCATTGAAATAACTTTAGAAAGAGAAATATTTAAAATTTGGAATAAAAGAGGCACATTAAAATGCAACTAATTTTTGCTTCTCATGCTTTGATTGAAAATCCGTGATTATTTCATATTATATTCAAACAAAACTAAAGGATAATTGAAATTGGAGTAAGAGTTAGTAAATCTAACTAAAATTAAAGCGAAATGACAAAGTAAATATATATTTAATGTTAAATCAATATATTATTTTGAAGCCTATTTCTTAATTATATATCTTTCATGCAATAAAGAAATAAACGTTCGATTAAAATAACAAATTAGGAATTATTAAGCCCTAAACGCAAAAGCGATATGTTTCGTTCATATGGAAAGAATATCACAGGAATCAAATAACTACCTTTTTCTTGGACAATAATTAAGTTTTACAAACCATTAATCCATTTCAGACATTTTTCGAACATCATATCAATTTTCTTTAGCACTTACCCTGCAATTAAATGGTTAGAAATTTGGATTAAACAGAGAAGAAATGTAGTGAATTAACTAAGCTCATAAACGACCAAACTTATCCAAAGCAGAAATAAAATTCCTAATTTTTCAAATTTAATTTGCCCATTTATTATTAGCATGTAACTGACAAGTTATCGCGTCAAAATCGCGTTTTATTCCAAGCAGAGCCACGTTTTTACCTTAACCACTGGACCCTAAAGACACTAGAAGTAGAATGTTAAAAGAAAATTAACGTTCAAAAAATTCTGCCTAAAAATGTTGCAGTTTTGAATTAAACTAGAGACTTAGACGCGTAACAATTTTTAGTGATTATAGATCAATAATTGTAGTTGTTTGGAAAAATTAGGTTAAATTAATTTCATTCGACAATCACGGTACTCTCTCTTAAAATTGAATTCATTTTGATTAGCTTTTACAATTTAATTAAATTTTTGTCGTGCATTGCACAAACATCGTCGGTTGCAAAAATAAACCGCATTCCGTTAATGATTAAAATAAACAGAATCGTTTCTCCAATAGTGCGTTCCTTTTTCTTTATTCGATCTTTATTAAATATAATTAATTTTAAAAAATAGAATTTTTCAATTTTTTGGTTTTTCGTGAAATGTCAGAAAATACTCCGCAAATGGCTTTAACGTTTAGATTAATTAAAAATACTTAGCATCAAACGTTATGACAAATATAATAATTATCTTCCTTATGAGGCATTCAAAAGTTATATAGGATTATGTAATTCAGCTGTTAGTAAATAATATTCTTTAGAATCACCACTTTTATGAATTTTCAAAATTTGCATCATTTTCTGGCCGTACAATTTGTTCCTTTTCTAAATGCAATAGACATAAATATGCTCTAAGACCAAAGCGAAGGAGTTTCAAGATAAATAAGATAATTAAGCTATATCGAACTTTCTTTGTTTACCAACTGAATCAACACTATAGAAATGAGCTCAAACGCATGTTTGGAATTTTATGTTAAAGCTGCCAAAATTCTAAGAATGTTTAACTTTGGCCACCTTACCACATCCCCTGAACATCTAGTCTAAATTTTAATGTAATGAACAAAGAATGTACAAACAAATAGCCTCCTTATTCCCTTTTAGTGGTATGAAAATATATTGGTTTAATTCTAGGCCATGCCTAGATAAAGAGTAATTGAATTATTTTTAGCAGTGAAACAGTTCATATAACTTTCCAATTAGTATTGGTTTATGATAAGAGAATTTTTCTTCAAGACATGTATGGAATTGCATTTCCATGGAGCGCACTTGTCAGCCTTAATGCTGAAAAAATTTGGTTTATTTAAACCCAACTTAGTTCATCAGGTAAGTACGTTGAACATACTCTTTGGTGGAAAATGATCAACGAAATGGGAGGTCCTCATCTAGATAGACCACGGAACGAATGCCTTTCCGACCACTTGCATTTAAATAAAAGTTCCATTTGAACAGTACCATTAAGCAAAATTTACAACTATTAATAATAAAATTCTTAGTCAACTCTTTCTGACATTAAATCCTTATTTTAATAATATAGACTAAAAATAATCAAACCAAACATCAATATGAAATTGAGGTGGAGGCACATATTTCACATAAATTTAGTAAACGTCCTGAATTAAACAGTTCGTATGAATTTTCTTCTTTTAGTTTTTGCACTATATCTAATTCTTTGAGATAATTAAATTCTCAAACAACATATTAAACCTTCTTAGAAACACTAACTAGAGATTTTTAATTATCTATTTATCGCAACTAAATTTAAATTTTTAATGCTCATTTTAAATCAAAAACAGTTCATCCAACTGAGAATATGTTTTTGAAACCCACGACTTTCAAGTCAATTAAGTATACAAAATTAACAATTCACTCTAGCTTCCCTTTCAATTATAGAATTTAAAGAAGTGTTTGATATCTAAATTGGAAATCACTTGTTCATATAGGCATCGAAAGAACAATTGATTTGTCACAAGAATGTCGTGAATAGGACGCCGTGCTATCGATCGCATAGAGAGCGGTCACGGCAGTGCGCGAAGAGGCCTTCTCAGCTAAGTCGCCATCAAAAATCATTAAAAGTTGCGTTAAATGTATTCATTTACTGGTTTTGTTCACAGTTGGCCATAATATATTTTTGACACTATTCATTCCATTCGTTCTGTCTCCCCGTAATTGCCGGGATGTCGCATAGCTAATTTTATAAGCAATTTTAGAACATATGGTTTTGACAGGATAGAATTTGAGGAAAAGGCAAAGAATTTTCCTTTAATATTCATTTCATGTTTAAAAATTGACAACTAATTGTATATTTTGTTTGAATTTCTTACATTTATTACTACTGACATTTCTATAAAAGTTAAAAGGGAACATTTATGAGGATTTGTTGATTTATTTGTGAAAATGCAAACTCAAGATTTAAAAAGTTAACTGAGCTAACCTAGGCAAGCAGAAGTAAATTACAAATATGTTTTACACAAAAATTGTCATCTTTGTTTGGTTCAAGTAACCGACTATTTAATGGCTTGATTGAAATTATATTTATTGTTGATTCATATTTATATATTATATAAAAATATTTATATTTTTCAAAATAAACTTAAGTCCTTTCCTAAATTTGAATATTTTAATTTAATTTTAAAATATGGAAAATATGGAATCTCGGAATTGAATGAAAAACATGTGTCAATTGTTGTCGAATTTTCGCTTATTAAAAGTACGTAATGCTAATGGGAATCTGATTGATATAGGGACAATTCTATTAGCTTATGTTAAAATTTAGTAACTAATACAATTGTACTCGCAGAGTATTTGCCAAAATAATTTTTTTTACTCATTAGGGAAATGGGGAAACTTCAAAATTTAGAGTAAATAATGCAATTTTTCTAGAGCTTGTAATGAAAAACAAAGATAGTCAATTATTAAATATTTCAATAATTCCATTTTGCAATTATATTTCATTAATAATATTTGGGAAATATTTCAGAATTTAGTATCTTGACATGATTTACAAGCAATTCTTGTATATTTAGAAGCTTAAGTTAATTTTAAATGGAAAAAATATATTTTACATTTCATGTACGTAAAACGCTGTTCCCACATTTTTATCTTTGACTGCATTTTTTACTTCCATTCAACAAGTTATTTTAATTTATAGCATATAAGTTTGCCTTGATAAACTTTTCCATCCGGTTTAATCAATATTTAACCCATTAGTTGATGAAAATATTTAACAAATCTTTTGGGTTCTAATTATCAAATTATCACTAAACTGACTAAATTTCTTGTATATTTAACCATCCAAACAAATATCATATTTAGAATATCATGCTTAAATTAATTATTTGAGATAAATTATTAAAATATTGAAAAAAAATTAAAACCGATCGAGGAATGCAAAAAAATATTCTGTATTAATATGAATAGAGGCAACCAGGTAGAAGTCAGCATCGTTTGCTTACACTGGGTTTGACATTTTCATGCAAGGACTATTCTGTTTTTGCTCCTGAAATTGATGATTTGGGAGGTAGAAAAGGGGGATCATTTTAACCGACGTCACGTTATTTCCAATCTCCGGATGGCTTTGATCGTTTCCAATTACAGTCTGATCTTTCGACTGATGTATGAGAAGCTCTTCGTTGGTAGCTGTTTGAGGTAACGTCGGCAGTGTTTGGTTTGATTGTAAAAGATTGCTCTTCTCACATACAGAAAGCCCTTTCTCATTAGAATTAATAAATTTTGGCCTGGACTTCGGATAGTCATGTGCAGGAAGCTCATCAACATTTGGAAAGCCAATATTGCCTAGGTCCACGCAATCCAAGATTAAGTCAGCGAATTCAAAAAGAGTGATAAGACTTGCTCCAATCCATAAGCCTACGCAACCACCAATATCGCTTAAAAGTCGACTGAAAGGATACTCCTCTGTTTCTTCCACACGATCCATAAATAGACTCGCTGGAACTATTCGGAGCATCATGAAATTTCTATTTACAAAATCAAGATTCAGAAGAGATGTATTTCCAGAGACGAGAACTTCTTTAATAGTCAAATTAGGATTTACGGTAAAATCAGCATTTAAGGCAAGTTTAGCAATATCGGATTTCCCTTTATACTGCGCTTCCTCCCTTTCTTCCAATCGAGCTAATAAATGAAGCCAATTGTAATACGTATGCCTCTCTTCAATGGCTGGAAATTTTGCATGGGCCACAACACGATCGATTGTGAAATGCTCACAGACGTCCCGGAAACAGTGTTTTCTGTCAACTGTGTTTGCGACGTTACTAAAGCAGTTCTCTATAAAAGTGAAATTGAGAGCATCGGAGAAACAGAATGGTAAATGGTGATATTTATACATCACTGGCATAGTATGCATTTGACATCCGCAATTTTCTGCTAAAGCTGTTTGGACAGCGGCGTCAAGACAATCGGGTTGAGATGAGAGGAAGATTTGGGATTTGTTCGTAGCCGTATTGACATAAGAAATATATTCCCTTTCAGGGACACATTTACCAAGCTTTGCTAAATGTTTCACATATGTCATTCTTAGTTCAATCTGCGTACACTCATCTACAATACTGCTATGACCAATATGGGGATAAGTTCCAGGTTCATGTATCATTAGGAGAACTCCAGAAGGCACATTAACGCTTCCATGTGGATCCATGCGGAATTTCTCCGGCATATCTAGAGCTTTGTACACAATTATCTTAAAATCAGGTCGAAATCGATTGAATCGATTTCGCGTTATAATCTCACGAGTCATATTGTTTAACATTTTTGTAGCATTGAAGGTGTAACAAGCACCATAAGGCCAAAGAATTTTTTCATCAAAATGCTTGTACGAGCACGGGGTCTGCATATATTGGCACTCAACAATGGTAAGCCATTTCGGATGAACATAGTAAGTATTCCTTTCAACAAAAAGGTAATCTGCTAATTCTAGCCGATGTACATGAGGGTGATTACTCCTCTTAAATTCTTTAAACTTCTCGATTGCTGAACTCATTCGTTCAAATTCAGTGGTACCTTCAGGTGGGAAGTAAATCGGATTGATGGTACAAAATGTTACATCTGGGTATATAAAATTATCCGAATCATGGAGAACATTTGTGAGGACTGGGACTTGAACATACTTTTCAACGAGGAAGAACATATTAAAGAAAAATCCAAATAGGGCTGCAATGGAGATACAGAGCCAAAAAAGACGTCTTTGAGCTGTTCTGGCTTGAGATAGATGATTTAAACCGTGCATGGTGCTTCGACGTGAAAATCGAAGAAAACTGGCTCCACACGCAGCTGCTACATATATGAGTCTCTGATTTTTCTTGCCCTTTTTGGAGTTATAAAACTCGGGTCTTTGAGCAGTGTAGTTTGCAATGCGCGAATAGTCAGAGGTGAGTTGATTATCGAGATTAGAACAGGCGAAATATCGTCCATCTTCAACATTTGCCCTGTCAGCCGTCATTTGATCTCTGTTAGCAGTTGAAAAATTCTTTATTCCTTGACCACGGTTATTCATGTTGGCAGCAACATTGAAAAAGTAAAAGATAATTTCAGTTAAAGTTGAATCTTATCACAAATCTCTGGACCAATCAAAAATTACAGTCGAAACGAATGTAGTATGTGAGCAAAGATTAACCAATGGGATTTGTCCGTTATGATGTTCCTGCTAATGCTTCTGATTCATGTTCGAGCAAACTTAATTTAATGCCGTATTTTTAAATGAATGCTTCAAAGCAATAATATTTCGTTTAAATTTTTAATTGATCAATTTATACCTATTTTGATTCAGCAAGTTTAAGCCTAACGAAGAAATGACTGAATTTAAATTTAATATTTTTAAATTTTCATCCATTCTTATTTAACGTTGAACAATTTAATTAAAATTGCTCATCTCAAGAAAATATTTTCATTAAGATTTTACTTTTCATGTATTTTAGTATTTAAAATAATGCATGGTTCTGCATACTTGCTTAGTAATTATTGAAAAAAATTGAAATTTCGAGAATTTTACTCAAAAAATGCGCTTCATTGGATGTAATATTGTCGAAACATTTTCATATGCACCTTAGATTTTTGAACCATCATTTTTCACTTACCTTTGGGTCTCTTATGACTACTTTGCTTCCGCATTAAAAACATCATTTTAATTTACTATTAATGCATTTATACAAATTATATAATGTAAAATACTAATTAATTTAATTTCTGCTTGTAATTTGTTAAGTCTCATTACCAAAACTCGCAGTAAAGAAAGATGGGTATAAAATTTAATTTTTAAAAGAAATTAAAATTAGATGACAGGAAGGTCCGATTATAAATACGAGATGCGTTAAATGAAATAAATTTTCATTTTAGATTTTGGAATCGGGTTACATAAAAAACATTTGTTTCAAGTTCTAAGTTCAAAGTGAATAATCGTCCAAGTTCCTGTGTAAAGTCTTGCTCTAACGCATCAAAGTTGTAATGGCTAACTGTATTACATCTAGTTCCAGCATTTTGATAAAAATTACAAATACAATGCCTATCAACTTGGCTATTGCACTTTGTTTGAAGTGGGATTCTCAGCATAAACCTGTTTGCTATAATAAAAAGCGACTAAATTCGATTGCTGAATCACAATCTAAACCACTTAATTAAAGAGAGACTTTTACGAAATGTAGGCACATTGATTTTTTAATGCACGATCCGCTTTCTTTCAGTAATTCGTTGGAGAAGTTACGTATCCTCAACCTGTTTTAGATTTGTTGCAATAGATATATTCATCGTTGTCCATTAAAGCCGATTAGAGCGTAAGTTCGTGAATAAGGTATGCTTCCACCTAATTGCAAAAAAAGAGAAGCTCCATTTGTTCCCCAGAGTCCTACATGACCATTGTTTTGAATTTTTTTTTTCTACCTCTAAAAACAGGCTTTTGTGTCATTTAAATCGAATATAACATTTAATTACTGTGCATTAAAGCGAAACAATCTTGAAAATCATTGTAGATTTCCAACTTACAGCACAATCAAAATGTTTCGACCAGAGCAATTTTTTATTATTTAATGGAGATTTAAAAATAACTTGCCAATTATTTATTAAAAAAATAGTTGATTTTTGTAGTTTACTAATTTTTCAGTTTATTTGCATTATTTCTATTCTATAAATCCCATGCTACAAAATTACAAAATTATAAGTTATTTGGACTTTTCGTGCGATTCAAATTTCCTATCGTTGATTACCTCTAATTAATTGATCGTACTTTTTCTAGGAAGCTATCAAATACAGTCAAAATAATATGGAAATAATTATTCACCTTTTAAAATTATTTCAGGTCAACCAATAGAATTTAGGCTGTAATACCTCAGCCAAAATAAGGAAGATGTTCCCATCACCTGACCCTAAATAAGAAAATATGGAGACATCCTAGTGGAAATTCAAACTCTACCACCTCTCATATTGACCACGTTGCTAGTTTGGAAGTTGTTTGCGTGACCTCTGAATCGACAGAGGAGAACACTGACCCTTTGCGTTCAAAATTGGCATAAAATTAGTGTTTGCCCTTTATCTAAGTCCATAGATAAGACTTGAACTATTAAAAGTGTAAGGGATTTGCTTTATGTCTATTGATATGATTTTTATAGGATTTATTTTAAGATAAAATTCTATCTCGAACAAATTTTAAAATGCTCGTGTTTTGGACGTAATCTGATTTTAATGCTTATCATTTATCCCAAAAATTTGGGAATTGTTTGTTACTCATTGATGCCGTTGATTTTCATGAGTGTTGGGTTATAAATTTAAAGACACATGGGATATTTATAATTCCAATTAAAGTCAGATTACAAGATTACAAAAATAACTCATCTTTTATAATTTTAAAAACTAAAGAAGTAGTTTTGTTGTTTATTGTAAGTTCTTAAATAAAATATCATAAAGTAACATTATATTTCGTCTAGAGGGCGCAATGCCCATACTTCACTTAAGTAGACAGTTTTAACCTTTTAACTCAATTAAAGTAGTATTTCAGGAAGAGTGCGCAAACCTAAACTTGTAAATTAAATTTTTGTTTGTTTCAAAAAATTTACGATTTAGCAAATAGCAGCAGCACAGTACCCGCAATAAATACACCTTCTTTAAAGGTATTTTGTTTCGAATTAGCATTTTGCATTATAACTGAAAGATGTATTCTAGAGAGAGAAAAAAGATGCTTACCTTTCCATTCGGTGTTATTATCATTAAAACATCTTTGAATTTATGACATTAGCAATAAAATTGAGCGCATAAAAGGTATGCTTAAACTTTAACGAGTGTTATAAGTAAGCTATATATACATATACATGTGCACAATCAAACAGGCACACTATTTCCAAGTTCAGTTGTCCAATACACAAATTAACATTAGTGTCAATTCATTTGCTATAGATTTACAGTTCGTAAGTTTATATGCACATTAGAGAACCGCTGAAGAAGTACTGAACTCAGTCATTATACGCAGTGATAATGAAGCAATGTATTTCCAATTCTTACCTCGAAATCTATCTATACAGAAGAAAGCTTTTGGGGCTAATTGGTCGATATTAGCGTTTGGTAGGTAAGAGATCACTATATTGTTACTCCATAAAAGAGGCCAGTCAATGGTAATGATCTGTTTTCAATTGGACACTTTTTCTAAGAAAGGTCTCAGGATGTTTTAAATTTACCAGAGTCGAGTGACAGTGGTACAGTGCTGGAAGATTTTCAGCGTGTGCTTATTCAAAGTATATTATCATTAAAGTTATTAAATATTAAGTTAGGAACGTTAGGGTTTTCTGGAATACCCCATAACAATGCAGAAAATGCGAAGAAAGTAGCCCTAAGACTGCCCGAAATGCTAAAACGACTCAACAAAGACTATAAAATGAGTGAAAGGGAAGAATATGAGTGTGATTAATTTAATCATTTTACATACTTAAATTTCCAGCGATATCTGCAATAAATCTTATCATTTTTTTGACAAGTTTGTCCATTATCTGTTACATTCGTTAGCTAATGAATGCGTGATCACTATTGATCATCTGGTGTGAATGATATGGTATAAATGTTGCTACCATTGTAACATTCCCAAATGATCACTTTGGCAGACCTTTCAGATTTTACCATGTGAATGATATCTACCATATTGGCCCGAGTACAGTACAGTACAGCACTTGACATTTTTTTAATGTTAGGGGTGAGTGTAGGTACCTGTAAAGCAACCGCACACTTTATTCCACTGCTCCATCTGTTACAACTGCTTTAAATTTTATTTTAGTTCAGCCTTAAAAGAATACGAAACTAATATTCTGCAATAAGTAGAGTGGCTATTTTTCCTGGGTAGGTATTAGTCCACTTAACCATTAAGTGGAACCAATCAGAAGTATTCAATCATAAAGCATCTTGACGATAGAAAATTAGGTCAGAAGTTTCAGTTCGAATCTACCAAATTAAAATCTTGACTAATTTACAAGAAATTAATTTGAAAATAACTTAAATCAAGCTCCCCTTCGAAATCGCGTGCCATTGAAATGTTATTTCAAATTTTCTTCGAGAGTCTCCCTGAAATCTTACTTGTCGAGTCACATAAACTTTACTAGTTAATTTCATTGGAATGCCAAGTGCGTTTGCGACCTATTGTGATAGATAGGTAGAAAGCAACACTCATTTACGAATAAGTGAATAATTGGAGCTATTATCACGTTGCGCAGAAAAGCAAAATTAAACTGCCTTGGAAATTCTTTCATTAGTAATGAAAACTTATTTCAAAATGTTAATATCGACCAATATATTTTAATAAATTTAACTTGCAAGGTTTCTTTGAAATTATAAGAATTTCTTAAATAGTGAGCAAACTGAAAAAAATAGCAAAATGCCTTTTTAATTAATTCCAGTCCTGAATTTCGTCCCACTGCCTCTAGTAGGACTGTTTCGGACGTAGAAGATGATGCAAATTGCTTTTTTCAATTTTCAATATTAAAACTCCTCTGAATCATTTTTTTATCAACTATGATAGCAAAACGTGATTTTTAGGTTTTCCCAATAATGACGTCAGTTCATCTTTTGAAACGTGAATTGCGTGATATTAAGCAATCACCTATTTCTCACCTTATTCAACTCGTTATCGTCCGTTTCATATCAACATTTTGTTTTAAATTTAAAAATTATCATTAATTAACCATTGGAGTTCATTAACATTATGTAAAATGGATCTTTCCAAACTGTAGCCCGAATCGTGTTGTCTTTTTAGAATACGCCAAACCCGAAGTGAAGTGGAATGACAGCTCAAATAAAGCAACTGTTCTTGTTAAAGTACATTTTTAAAACCACGTTTCCCCCAAATACATTGTGAACACGTATCACGCTTTTTTAAGGGAATTTTCTTTCTCAGAATCGTTTCAGCTTTTTAGTTAGTTTTTTTTGTTATTCTCAGCAAAAGTTAGTCAAAATAAGAAATAGAAGATTTGATAAAGTAGGGTGTGCGATAGAATTACCTCCACATAGTGCAGTCTGGGCAACATATAC